ACGGCCACTTTTGTGAAAGGATATGGACTCCATGATTCAGGAAAGCCCTTTACCTGTACAGAGGTTCAGAAGGATTTCGTGCCTGGCTCGGGGCATCTGCAGCAAGAGGCCACTGAAACTGGAGAGAAGCCAAACACAATCAGTCAGTGCAGGGCAACTTTGCAGAGCAGTAAAGGTCATTACACTCGGGGAGAATGCAAGGAAGCCTTCTGTTCCGAACATACACATGTTCGGGATCAGAGTGTCCAACCTGGAAGTCCATGTTTTGTGTGCAGTGAATGTGGGAAAACATTCAGGCACAAATCTTTATTTGCCATACACCAGAGATTCCATACTGCGGAAAGACATCATGAGCTTAACAAATGTGGAAAATTGCTAAGGCAGATGTCAACTCACACTGCACATGGAAAGACTCTCACTGCGTCTAGGCAATACACGTGCAACAAATGTGGGAAATCCTTAAGCCACAAATCTGTGCTCATTCATCCCCAGAGAGGGCATAGTGGAGAAAATGATTATGTTTGCAGTGGATGTTCAACATCTTTTAGCCATAGTTCAGTTTCGATTATACATTCTGTTCAAACCTCAGAAAGGCCCTATAAGTGTAGTGTCTGTGCAAAATGTTTTACCTCTATCTCTGCCCTCACTTATCATCAGAGATCTCACACAGGGGAAAGACCTTATGGGTGCAGTGAATGTGGGAAGTCTTTTACCTCCAGGACTGGCCTCCATTACCATTACATAGTTCACTCTGGAGAGAGGCCTTATGAGTGCAGTAAGTGTGGGAAGGCTTTTATCTCCAGAACTGGCCTCCGTTACCATTACAGAGTTCACACTGGAGAAAGGCCTTATGAATGCAGAGAATGTGGGAAATCTTTTACTGATACTTCTGCCCTCCGATATCATCAGAGAGTTCACACTGGAGAAAAGCCTTATGAGTGCAGTGAATGTGGGAAATCTTTTACTACTCCGTCTGCCCTGCGTTGTCATCAGAGAGTTCACACTGGAGAAAGGCCTTATGAGTGCAGTGAATGTGGGAAATCTTTTACTACTCCTTCTGCCCTC